CGAAACGAGTTATTTTCCCATATGAGACAACAATAATACATAATCAATGGAAGAATTTAACTATCATTATCATCATCATCATTGCTGAACATAAGTCTGCCTCAAAGAATGCCACAAAGCACGATCAACTCACACTAACTCACCTGCGTCCATTGACTTACTGCATATCTTACAAAGTCATCACTCCATCTAGTGGCGGGCGCCCTACACTTCGCCTACCGGTACGAGGATGCCACTATAGAACCTTTCTTACCATCGATAGCCGGTTCGTCGTGACATATGTCCGGCCCATTTCCAAGTCAGCTTACTATGTATGTCGCAGCCAAATAATAAATAAGAAGTATTAATAAACGCCTAGAGGTAATGCACATCATCTAATGTATCAGCTTTTTGCGTTCTTCAATGCGGCTAACAAGGCTGAATTTTAAGTGCCATTACAAACGAACAAATGCAACGGATTGTCTAGAAATTTTGTCATAAAGAAAATGGACCTAACTAGTAGTTCTGTAATCATTGTCATTGTCATTGTCTGCCATTTTATTCAACGTATCGCAACGTCATTACGGCTGAATGTCAGTAATCTGCTTTCGTAAACGGCGCCGTATTAAAAAAACAATTAGCTGCAAGCCTTGCAAAAGCAAGTATTGTAGCTAGGTATTTTTGAATACGCCTGATTCCAAATGTTGGCTGTAACGATGTGCCGCCCGGGCAGTCTTGAAGGTTCAGACCTGTCCATCCTTTGGCTACGCGTAGACAGCGACGACCATCCGCGCGTCTACGGGTGCCTCTATAGGTCCCATAGCAGTAATGCCGAAACAGAACGACTCATTGACCACGTCCAAATGGCTACAGATTCCTTGCTACAACAGGTCCCATCCGCAGAGATCGTGATCCTTGGCGATTTTAACGCCCACGACGCCGAATGGCTCGGTTCACGTTTAACCGATCATGCGGGAGATCTGTTTATGACTTTGCCTTGGCATATTGTCTGACACAACTGATTACATCGCCTAAGTAGATTCCAGATGTTGAGGATCATACACCTTCCCTGTTGGACCTTCTGCTGACCTCTCATCCGGACGGATATCAGGTTTCCGTCGATGCCCCTCTTGGCTCTTCGGACCATTGTCTGATCCGGAGTGTGGTGCCACTCACGCTCCCCTCGCGGTTGCGTTCTGCAGGTTGCCGACGTGTTTGGCATTACAGGTCGGCGGATTAGGACGGAATGCGGTCTTTCTTTGCTTCCTACCCATGGGGGCGGGTTTGCTTCTCGTCGGATGATCCCAGCGCTGTTGCTGACTCTGTCACTGATGTGGTGCTACAGGGAATGGAACTATTTATTCCATCATCTGTGGTACCCATCGGAGGCAGATCTCAGCCTTGGTTTGGTCGCTCCTGTAAGACTGCATTGCGCAGTAAGCAGGAGTGTTATCAAGCCTGGGCTGCAGCTTCGGTGACTCGGGATGTAAACACCAGCATACTTAAAAAGAAGTATAACTTCGCCTCCAGGTCCTTCAAAAGAGTTATTGCCAAGGCAAAGTCAGAGCACATAGGCAGAATTGGCGAGAAACTATTTCGCCTTCCTTCGGGAACCCGTGCATTCTGGTCTCTCGCCAAGGCTGTCCAAGGGAATTTCTGTAAGCCATCACTACCATCTCTGCACAGGGAGGACGACTCACTGGCCCATGACGCAAAAGAGAAGGCCGACCTTTTAGGCTCCCTTTTTGCGTCCAACTCGACTGTTGATGACGGGGGGAACACACCGCCGACCATCCCGCGGTGTGAGTGCTCCATGCCGGATGTGCGGTTCTCACAGCGCTCGGTTCGCAGAGCACTCCTCTCCCTTGACATCCACAAGTCGAGTGGGCCTGACGGAATCCCCCCAATTGTGCTGAGGACGTGTGCTCCGGAGTTCACACCGGATCTAACGCGTCTTTTCCGGTACTCCTACTCCCTAGGCGTAGTCCCGAAATCATGGAAGACAGCTTTTGTTCACCCGATCCCTAAAAAAGGCGACCGCTCAGACCCGTCCAACTACAGTCCTATCACCATAACCCCCTTGTTCTCCAAAATAATGGAATCCGTTATAAACTGCCACCTCATGCGGTACCTTGAGGATCACCAGCTGATTAGTGACCACCAGTACGGTTTTCGTCGGGGTCGATCAGCTGGTGATCTTCTGGTCTACTTAACTCATAGATGGGCGGAGGCAGTAGAGTCCAAGGGGGAGGCATTGGCCGTTAGTTTGGACATTGCGAAGGCCTTCGATCGGGTTTGGCACAAAGCGCTTCTTTCGAAGCTCCCTTCCTATGGGCTTCCCGAGAAATTATGCAATTGGATCACCAGCTTTCTTGTAGCTATTAACGCTGTGGAACACCAGCGTTAATAGCTACAAGCCTATTAACGCTGGTGTTCCACAAGGCTGCGTGCTATCACCAACGCTGTTTCTTCTGCATATCAATGATATGTTGCAAGCCGGTAGCATTCATTGCTATGCGGATGACAGCACTGGTGATGCTCTATACACCGGACGTGCCAATATTTCTCGGGAAAACGTCACCGAGTACCGGAACAAACTTGTGTCTGAAGTCGAGTCTTTGCTGGACAAAGTCTCGGATTGGGGGCGACTAAATCTAGTCCAGTTTAATCCTCAGAAGACACAAGTTTGCGCATTTACCGCTAAAAAGAACCCCTTTGTCGTATCTCCTCAATTTCAAGGTACTCCCCTTGTTGCCTCAACCAGTATGGGAATCCTCGGCGTCGACACATCGAGTAACGTGCAGTTTCGTGGTCACTTGGAAGATAAGGCCAAATTGGCCTCTAAAAAGCTTGGCGTGCTCAGTAGAGCGGGACAGTATTTCATGCCGGCTCAACGCCTGCAACTTTACAAGGCGCAGGTTCGGCCTCACATGGAATACTGTTTCCATCTCTGGGCTGGGGCTCCCCAGTGCCAGCTCCTTCCACTTGACCGCATCCAGCGCAGAGCGGCTCGAATCGTCGACGACCGAGTCCTTTCCGATCGGCTCGAATCATTGGCACTGCGAAGAGAAGTTGCATCTCTTAGCATTTTCTTTCGCATTTACCATGGGGAGTGCTCTGAGGAATTGTTCGGATTAATCCCAGCCGCCAAATTTCACGAACGCACATCGCGGCAGAACTCCCGATACCATCTACACCATCTGGATGATTGGCGGTCCACCACTGTGCGATTTAGAAGATGTTTTCTTCCTCGCACAACTTCCTTGTGGAATAGTTTACCACCTGCGATTTTTCCGGACCGATACGACTTAAGGACCTTCAAGAAAAGAGCCTACTCCTTTTTAAAAGGCCGGCAACGCATCTGCAATTCCCCTGGTGTTGCGGTTGTTCATGGGCGGCGGTAGTCACTTACCATCAGGTGAGCCGCATGCTCGTTTGTTCCCTCTCCTATAAAAAAAAAAGTTATAATTCTTAAACTACTAGTTAAAATTTAATTAAATTTGAAATATATCGAGTTTATACAATGCCTACTTGGTTAGTGAAAATTCTAGCTTCTAGATTTATCTACAACGAAGTTATAGGGTTTCGAAAATGACCTGAACTGCTTCGAAAAAAGGATGGTACGGTAGTGCCGCTTGTTTGCTCGACTTGGCGGGAGCACTGCCGTGCCCCCAGATGTATCTAGAGCAATGCATTCCTCCAAAACACACTATACTAACACCGTATGGGAGACTTCAATGCAAAATTAGGCAGAAGAGAGAACGGTGAGCTGAAGGTAGGGAAATTTCAAATAGGGCAACGCAACCCAAGGGGCCAGCAGCTGGCCGACTTCATGAAAGAAGAGGGACTCATTATGATGAACTCTTTCTTCCAGAAGCGGCCCCACAGGAAGTGAACTTGGTTGAGCCCCGACGGTTCGACAAAAAATTAGATTGACTTCATTATGACGACCTGACGACAGTGACCAGTGATCGCGTAGGTGAAAACTGGTAGCGATCACCGAATGGTTAGAGGCACACTGACCCTAAACGATAAGTTGAAGAGGTCTCGTCTAATGAAGTCCAAGCTTCGTCCCCTTCGTGCTCTAGTCTAAAGTCGTGAAACCTTGCAGCTCGAGTTACAAAATCGTTTTCAGTGCCTAGAAGACAGTAATGAAGTGGACCATATGAATCATAAACTCGTGGAAACTGTCCATGCGGTCGGAGCTAAGTTTTGCAAGACCCGCCGCAGAAAAACACAAAAACTCTCCGATCACACTTTTATTCTCATGAAACCGCATTTTTTAATATCTTGAATTGTAATCTGAAAAATTCTGCTGCCCATCTCCTTTTTTTATTTTCCATCTGTCACTTCTTACGAAACGCACAGGTTGATATCAAGTGGATTCTCTTAAGCCGCTATTATACGGTACGTACGAAACTACTGTATGTATTTATTTATTCTTTATTGCATTCCTTAAAACAAAAAAAAATGCAAAGGTTGGACTTAATGCAACAAAACAAGAGTGATAATTAACTATTAAGTATAGATTATACATTTTACTTAGAAATAAACTACACAAATATAACCTCCTGATACATATGTACATAGAGACGTATATATATAGAGAGAGATGGAACATTTTGCTTTTTAAATAGACGTCGAGTTTTTGTCACTAAGAGTAATAAGCTAATAAATAACATACACCTGTATGCATAAAGGGAGTCTGCAATTCTACATAAAGTCCATACAATATAATTATCTGGTTTTTCCAATTTATTTTTCAAATAAGAGAAAAAGAAGCAAACCTGTTTTCAGGATTAAAATGCCAAGTGTATACCTTTGGTCTCTTCATATTATGTCCAATATGAAAGTAATTACACCAGTTACTTTTAATTTACTAGAAATAGTAATAATACTATTATGTGTGACAATTTCGTACCCTACCTTCAAAATGGGGTAACAGATATAAAAATAATGCTCATACAAAATAATGTAAATAATAGTAGTCTTTCGTTATTAATACAAATTTATTGAAATGCTTAGTGAGGAAAACGCAAGTCGGTATCACGCAAGTTCTCCTCTATCCAGCGTTGTGCCTGTTCAGTCATCTTTTCATCAAAATAGTCTCGCCAACCGCCAACTTTACCTGAAATGATATGAAGAGAATATAATTTATGTATTATAAGAAGTAAAATTACACTTTTTTATATTAATGAATAAAAAATCGACTTCAAAGAACTAAAAAAATAAATAATTGTTTCCTATGTCGGTGATCAGACAGTGTCAAAAATTAGGAAAGCCCCGACTGAGGATTATCGGCAGCTTAAGTTAACAGCCATAATGTTGCCTAAATAGTTACATCATCAAATGTTATTTCTTATCATACGCCCTTAGAAGCCTTATTTTTTATTGTGATTTGGGTGGCGCCGGACGGCAGCAACATATGCTAAATCGCCACTGCCCCAATGCATATTGGTGGACTTCACATATCCACTTCACACATCATATATATATATATATATATATATAATATATATATATATATATATATATATATATATATATATATGATGTGTCAAATATATATTGTAAATTATTTTTAAATTTTAACCTATATATGTACTAATAATTGAAATGAAAAAAATAATTTACAATGTTGCTCACTCGAAAAATTGTCTTTATCGATTTACAATAAAAGCGTAGTCAAGTCTACTCCGTAATTGTTGCTATCAACAGCAGACATTTGATATTATGATGTCAATGCCTTTTAAATAATATGTTCGAAAAATATTGCTCGTGAATGCCAGATCTTCCTTATTTTATAAAAGCTGAAAGTTGCTCAGCGCATGCTTCCACCATAGATAGGAACTACTATCTGTAGAGTGTAGAGGCGCAGCGTGTTGAAGCGTCTATGTTTTATATCGAGTCAAACAACGAATTCGTTGTACTTACGTTGGTGGATTACGTTAATTTTAAACAGGTTCATTGATTAACACAATCGTCCTAGTTACATTCAAGTTGCATTATTTTAAAATTCCTTTATACTCCCGAATATGGTCGTTTGAACCGGATTTGAATATAGCCTACAGTTATAACAGATTCCAATTAGATCTAGATTATGAACGCAGTCTGCATTTAGTAAGTTGCACACATTGGAATAATTTTGTCCAATAAGTTTAGCTAGTTAACTTATTAGATCAGTTCTTAAAGCCAGCCAGCAAGGTATGAATCATAATTACCGCAAATTAAAACGTTTTGTTATTAAAATGAGGTGACAAAAGGGAACAAATAGTATTGACAGATAATTACATAAAACCTATACGTAAATTTTTAACTAATTTATGGAAATTCGTGGTTGACAAGAACTTAATTTCAAAAATAGGAAGATATTTTTTGTAGGATTAAAGTCAAGAAACGAACACATAGTCCATCTGATAGTTAGTGAATTAGAATGCTTTCATGGAGTATACTTAAAAAAAAAAAAACTTTATTTACGAAACTCGGTCACAATTGGTTTAACTAAAATAAACATTACAATAATGTAAGATGCTTGCAATAGTATTTCAGAACTACTACTTTGGATTTATGCTTCTGTTATGCTGCAGAGTTTTGCTAATTATATGTTCATATTCTCATGGACACAACGCTTTATATAGTGGATCCACACGCCCTCTTGGTCTTCAACTGACAGCCATGATTTAGTCACTTGTTCAGTCTGCCAATGATTATTAACTTTAATGTTACTCTTTGTTATAATGTTTGTCACGTCGTTGTTAGGTCTTATGTCTTTATTACATGTCTTCCTCTTCTTTATGTTTTATATGTCTTTTATATCCTTTTGTGCATGTTTCACCAGATATCTTTCATATTTTTTATTATATGCGGCGCGTTGAAAAGTGGCTTTAGTGGCTCATATATAACTACAGTATCCTCGATAAGGAATTAAATCGCGGATGTGTTGTCATCCCTGAAGACTCGTCCCGGATGTCTCGTTATCAATAAACAGGTTATATAATTTTAGTCACTAACCATACGAAACACATAACTAACATTTAAAATTCATGTTTGCTATCATCGCGAACTTATTTATCATCCAGATATAAATACCCAGACAAGCGACAAAAACAGCGTCAAAATTGCAAGACATCTAGTACTACAGTTTTTACAGTTTTTATACGTGGTAGTGCCATGCTGCAGCTATATTAATACTATAGTTGTAGCACGAATGGGTACGGGTCGACCGGGGAAGGACCACGCTCTCACAGAATACCACCGTAAAATAGCAGCTTAATGCTGCTGTGTTTCGTATGGTGAGTGTAGAGAACCGGAGAACCTTTTTACTGGAAAAAAGGCATTCTATCTTAGTTCTCACGGCTGGCAACGCATCTGCATTTAAATTCGCCAACGAAGATAGATGTAGATGTCTATGGGCCACAGCAACCACTTATCATCAGGTAGACTGTGTGCTCGTTTGTCACCCTTATTCTATAAAAAAAAAACTATGATCGTCAGTTCGCCTTATTATGGCAATTAAGGCAAATAATTTCAATTTACGGGAGACTAACGTTTATCAGTGCAATGTAACATGCCAATAAAGAAAGATAGAATACGTACCCTTTCTAATAAAACTCTCCTTTTCATTCAATAATCCAATACCCTTTAAGTTATCGTAATTGACGGATTTGTTTTTTTTGAAATTATCAATTTTAAGGTGCTCGCATAGTTTTTCAATCTGTTCTTTAGTTATCTCTTTGCCAAGGAATTTAGCAACGCGACGTACACAAGCTGGCAGATCCTGAAATGGATTATTTTATATAAGACTATTTCTTATGGCTAATCAATATAAAAAGCTTAATTGTAAAAATTTAAATTAATTTAATTGAAACCATAAAATTAAGAAAATATTTTTGTATCGATCGTGGTGTTAAGCTTCAAACTTTTTCAGATGCTTTCAATTATTTGTTTACTAATTGGTGAATCGCCCGAATCCGTTACTTATAACGTGATAAGGCAACTATGCAAGGTCTAATGTAGGGTTAGAGACGGAAAGATAATTACAATACAAGCCACAACCCCTGAAATTGGAAGTTAGGTATTCCGACATCACCCTTCATGGCTTTATGGTAAAAAGTTGCAGTACTTTTTGACTTTTTTGAGCCTCTTTAAATCTACATAAAGGCACCTAATACCGAGGGGTTCTAATATATGCACCATATTCCGAGGTATTTAGAAAAACTGCATTTACTAGAGATGTACAAGCTCTTTTTGATTGCAAGCTCTTATTGATAATATAACTTTGCGTAGTTATGTCATCAAATAATAATTATAAAAAATAACAAAAAGTTTTTATTTATAAACATGGTCTTACAGTCTTACATCTGCAATGGTAGACTTATTTTGAACGTGAAATGCGCCCGTATCTGAAGTAAGCCCCTCTTCCTTTTTAAAATTTACTAAAGCAAGAACCGCCTATACTAAAATTATCGCTGAGCGTAAACAACATAACTGAAAAACGAAAATTGAAAAAAATTTGGAAAGTAACAAAATAGTGTGTGTAGTATGTGTGTATGTAGTGAATGTGTAGTGTGTGTGTAATATGTGTGTAATGTATGTGCGTGTAATGTGTGTCGTGTGAAATTTTTCATACGTTTCCCCCTGCATAGCCTTACCACATAAGAGGTCTTAGGATGGGCGTTAGGCCACTGAGTAGAGGGGATGAATGTACAGCTACATGGGGATTATGATGTGTGAAGGTATGTAATAAGCAAGTGATTTACACGTGAATATTCTCATATCAAAATTCTAATTTTAATAGGTTTTATACTTCAATAAAATTTAATGTCTTCAGCCATTCATTAAGTTTGTGTTTACAATTTCGATGAGTCATAGGATATATGTCGTACTGATTGCGAGCAAATTTAGTCTTAATGTAATTTAGTGTGGCGACTCTATCTTTTCTTCTTTTAGTTAAAGTATTAGTATCGATATTGAAGGACATATGTTTTTTCAAAACTACGTACAATATTTTTTTTATAAGATAAGGGTGACAAACGAGCACACAGTCCACCTGATGGTAAGTGGTTGCTATGGCCCATAGACATCTGCATCTATTCTCGATTACGAATCAAAATGCAGATGCGTTGTCACCCGTGAGGACTAAGATGGAATGCCTCTTTTCCAGTAAAAAGGGTCTCCGGTTCTCTGGACTCACCATACGAAACACAGCGGCCTTATATATATATAAGGTATAAAATATATAGTTTACGAACTGTCAATAAATCTGGATGATATAAATACAATGAATTTGTTAAAAACTGACGTGTTTTGAAATACATGATTTTTAAAAATCCCCTTTGAGCTCGTTCTAATTGCATCAAATGGGTTTTAACAGCACCACCCCATATCGTTATTTAATAAATCAAAATAGATTATGCCAAGACAATATAGATTTTATCAAATAACTTTTTATTTGCAACGTGTCTTATTGTTATAAAATTCAACATTCAAAATCCACATTAATTTACGTAATCTGCCAGCAACCAATTCGACATGAGACAGTCATGAAAGTCTCTGGTCCACTATGACCCCAAGGTACGTTGTAATAGTTAGTCTAGTTATAGTGGGGCAATTGCACTGACCTCTAAATATGGACTGGCTATACATCGTGACATAATGAGGTAATTTGATTTTCACTATTTTGGCGCTGACAGCAGAAGTGAACGTCCACAGAACTAATAATAGAGATAAGACGGTGTAAAAAAATATATCGATAAGAATTCTATACCCAGGCCTACCCGTAAAGTCCATTTTATTTATTTATCATATTTATATAATGCCATACAATAAATAAATGTATCAATTAATACCCAGGCCTTAGACGCAAGCATTATACCACATAGAAAACAAGAATCGACGCTGCGTTGATCTATCTACGTTTATATTCGTAACTACAGAACGGATTTCGTTCCGGGTTTCAAATGAGGAAATGCCTACGCATACCTGCACTGCAGGGGCAAGAACGCAATATGTCTGACTTGTACCTACTAAAACCCCATTATGGTCCATCTTCACCACATATTACCAGGGCCACGAAAACGCTTCAAGCACATCCGCGGCCCCCTTAAGCGAGGACCCCTCCTTAGTTGAGGACTTACCTTCCCGACGGAGGATTTGGAGGCTATGGAGCCAAGAAAAAACGAGCACTCAAAAGCACCAAGTGATACAGACCCGCCAAAGTCGCGGAGGATAGTCGAGTGACGCATTACCATACCAACAATCCTATTCACTTGCGACTCCACCTCGGCTGCAGCGCTATAGAGAGAGGATTCTCCTCTAGCCGCAACTCACTAGCACACATCTAAGGGCTCGACAAGCCCACTCAGAGTGGCCATCTTGGGCCACCCTTCAATTCGGGCCAGCCATGTTAGTCACCCCACTTTTATCATGGGTTACCAAGCCACTGCTAATAGCCCCTCCCCCCTCCCCCGCCACTAAAAGGCGGGAACCCGTTCAGGGAGGAGTTATTTCCCACACAAACTCAGGCAAACTCCTTAAGGACATTGATAATTTTGCAGTTATACAAAATAATATTTTTAATATATATCATAAAATAGTAATAAAGATGCATAATATAAAATGGTACCATATAAGTACATAGATAAGAAAAATACATACATATTATTAATATATTTATACTATTATATATTTATTACACCAATATATTTATATATACGGCGTAATAAGTATTTTTATATCGGTTTAAGGTGTCTCCGAGTTCTATTCATATTTAATTAATTAAAAATACAAATGAAGATCTAAATGAAACCTATTATCTATTTTAAGAGTAGAAACCATTATGGTTCTGTTAAAAAAGCATTAAATATCATAGATTATATCATGATATTCGAGTTCTGGTTTAGTAAACTATTAAATAATCTGTGGTTCTGGTTGTTACCTTTAATGTAATTATTGCGTAGGAACAAAATCATTTTCTAAAAAATGGCCCAGTGCTTGTCGGGCCACGCACAATTTGTAGGGTTCCGTGGTTGCCCGTCACAATACGTGGGCTTTCTTGATAATGAGCATAATAAGTGACTTTGCGGTTTGATCGTTATAAGGACTAAAATTGGCCTAAATAGGTAGATTGTAACTGAAGGACCAATTTTCAAATCAGACTTATAGCGAGTGGTATTCAAAAGATTTAAAAAAAATAAAGATCATCATAGTTGACTATCTGTTTATATGTTCCCGGCAGTGCAACCCTAAGATATACATATATGACTGTAATGAACTTTCACGCAAACCACCACTGCTCTAAAAACTCTTGTGATGAAATGATGAAATTGTACGGGGCTACATTATGATTGTATGAATACTTTGAAAGTAAAAAAGATCCGTCCTGCCTATCCCGTAAATAAAAAAGTAAAGCGTAGTAATGCATTTGGGTCGTTTTCTTCATAAAATGTTATTTTTTACAGTTTACAATAACATTACAAAATTATAATGCAGCTAGTTTTAGGTCATATTTTATAAAGTTGTAATGAAATTTTTACTAATCCAAATGCATTTTATAAGTCGGTCGACTATTACTCGTTAATTTGTTAATTCTATTTAGCTGTGATATTATTTTTAACTACATTACAAATACTACTGTTGTGTATACTTTCTATATTTTCAAAAACAGCGGTATAGTTAGCGGTTTCCAACGATAAAACTATGGAATAGATGTGTTAAAAAAAATTATCCTCCATTTACTTGTATGGGAGTCACCCAAAATAAAAATGTTTTATAAGATTTTATTTCATAGTTTTGTAGGCGTAATTAATATCTATAAGCATTTCAAATTACAGATTTTTAGCATCTAGGGTATCTGAGTAAAACCGCGGACAGACGGACGAACGAAGGGACGGACGGATGGACGTGACGAAACTATAAGGGTTCCTTGTTGTATAACTACGAAACCCTAAAAACTCAACATACGGCCAAGGCTTGAATGAAGACAGAAAATAGAATTATATAATTAACTCGATAACAAAATCATAAAGATGGCACTGCATCTCTTTTTAAATGGGCAACTAGCAGAGATTCTAAAATGAAACCGTGTTACTTCATATTGAATTTAGTTACTTCATTATGAAAATGCTTATTATTTTTAGATTATATAGATTATTTCAATAGATTCTACTAATTGGCTTGATAAATGCGGGATCGAGGTAAAGTTTTCACACGTACATACCAATTGTACAGCAGGGTTTTAATTAATTGGCCTTGAAGACCCTCATCAGAAAACAACAATTCACGCTAATACAAAATTCTAGGCAAAATGATAATCTGTAATATTAAGAAAAATTTATAAGTCCATGGTTTAGCTGGTATGAAACGGTATCACTATTTTACATCTCCATTATAATATTAAGATGATAAATCTGATCGCTAATGAAATTTTTCTAGATGTTCGCAAATATATTTTTATGCGGATGCAAAAAAAATCGTAAGGAATTAATGCTGCAATCGAAAAATTATTTCAAGTTTTACATTTCAAACAGTTTACCTTAGAAAGGTCTTCGTAAAACAAAAATAGCATATTAGGATGGTTCCTCATTCGCCAAGCTTCTTTAACGTGTTCAAACTGTGGTCCCCAGGGAACTGTAATATACAAACCATATTAGTGACTTAAAACAGGGAAACGTAATCTATTCCTTTTTTGAGAAAAAAATAAATTAAAAAAGAGCCTACAAAATATACTTTTTCTGGTTTATCCTTTGACTTTCTTGCATCAAAATAAATATCATGTTCACCCGAATCTGAGTTAACATTTTTTGAACAATACACCAAGTCTCAATATTGATGACGCAGCGTTGATCTACTATCACCACCGTGGATCGTCGAATAATAATTAAAAAATAATCCTAATAAAAAAGATAAAAACAATTAAACCGATCGATATTTTCATGTCTTCATCAAAAATATTGAAACGTAATTGAAACATGTACACTGTTTGTAGTAAAAAATTTAACTATTTAATTTTATAGCATTTATTCCAATATATAAAAATGAATTTTGTTTGTATGTTATTATTCTATATATTCCTATACTCGTAACATTCAACCAATTACAATTAAAAAAAATTGCTGTTAAGCGCTTGCGAATTTTTCTGACGAATAAAAATCAGTAATTTTGATTGTTTCTTTGCTTGTTCATCTTCAATATTTATTTATATAATTCATCCAATTATGAGAAACTTTGGTGAGTTTTAGTACGCGCGCTCTCGAAGGTTTATGACAAAAACTTTTATTTGTTTGTTAGATTGTGTGTCTTCTATGCCTTACTATACAGCTAATTCGATTATCATGAAACTTTGGTAAGTTGTTTTGCATGCCACTACGAGGGTTTCACACTAACATGGTAAAATGTAGGCGTTGCTTTTGCTTTTTGGTAATAAAATTCCATCCCTGCTGAACTATATAAAGTTAGTGTTGGAATATACGACTAATCATTTGAGTTATAAAACGTATATCGAATAAGAAAGTAAATCTACATAAAGTTTTTATACTTACTTAAATCATTGATAAAAAGTTCCCAATAAGTCACGAAGTCCACTTCGTCTAGGAGCATCTTCATTAATTTGCTATGATGGTAAAATGACACGACTACATCACGGGGGTCACGAGCTACGTAAAAAACCTTACAAGTGTCCAACAGCTTGGGTGGTAGAAGAGATAATGGCAGATGTGATTTGATAAATCTCGGGGAAGCCATACTCAGAACTTTTTGCACTGGCGGCATGTTTTCTTCTACTGTTTTTTTAAATTTTTCGTCGTGTAGCATACCTGGCATTTCATTATGATTCAAAAACATATCAGGTCTGTTGGATGTATAAATAAATTTTCATTAAATATGTCCTTAAAAAATCAAAAAGTTAGTATAACAACATAAAACTTTAATCAAGTTATCATAGTATATTTAATCTGTATATGTTTTAAACTGTGGACTTAATATTTTGTATTTAGTACAGAAATTGGAAGCAGCGTATTGCAACTCTGGTGCTGCTTATCGCCCAAAAATCGCTATTGATCAAAAGTATGTGCATGGTAAGCACCTTGCCGATCTCAGTCAAACACATATCGACAGGCAAGCGTCGAACTAGTGGCTACGATGCGGGGAGCTCTTGCCAGTGACGGAGACTTTTGTAATTGCTATTCAGGATCAAGTGAGTGATACTCGTAACTATTAAAAACATATAATTCGTATTCCCAACCCACTACCTAACTCATGTAGACGATGTCACAATAGCTCAGAAACAATTCAACATATTACCGGTGCATGTAAATCTATAGTTCAAACAGACTACCACTGACAAAGTTGCTGCAATTATCCACTAAAACCTAGCTCACAAAAATTTATTAATTTAAAAAAAAATTGTTTATTACAAATATTATCCCAGCACCATTTTAGAAAGTAATTCTGTTGAATCATATTGGGACAGGACAGATAATACTATACATTACTATAGATTGGACATAACAATAGTAGACAAAATTAAAAATCAGTTTTTATAATAGACATAGCAGTTTGCAGCACACACAACTTCATTAATACATATTCTGAGAAAATAACAAGGTATAATCTGGCTTACCAATCTAATAATAAAAATTACTAATCGTTCCCATCATCATATTCACAACTGGTGTAGTCACAAAGACTTTTCAAACCGGCCTCAACATGCTTCAAATGCCCAAATCCACTATTACACTTATACATATAACAGGCCTATTAAACACCTGTCGTCTTACACGAAAATTCCTCAACTTATCATCATCATCATCATCATTGTAGGTATTTTTACCTTCCTGCGGCCACACTTGGTCAAGGCCCGTGTGTCAGTTTTTCTACCCCTTTAATACAGAGGGAGAAAATATGACAAGTATAATAACAATAATAAATTTAAATTTATTGTACACTATAGAAATTATCCGGAAAAAGGTAAAAAGTGTATTAAATAAAATAATATTATATTTAGAAAAAACGCAAGTTTTGACTTAAGTATATTTTCAAAAACTTACTCTAAAAAAGCATATCTTACGGTGAGCGGGGTTTCCAAAGCCTTTTCATAATCAAAGTTCTTTAAAATTAGCCAAACCAGTTCCTGCATCCATGTGGTACCTGTGATTGATGTTTATTAGAATTCGTACATATTGTAACATAACAATACAGAGACGGTAGCAATTTTTTCATCTATCTTCTCATATATAATCACTAGCTGTTCCCCGCGACTTCGTTCGCGTGTTAGGGTTTTTATGTTTTTGTGCGGAACCCTAATTATTTTTCTAAAATAAAAGTAGCCTAAGTTACTCCTTATGAATTCAGCTATCTGCCAGTGAAAGTCCCGTCAAAATCCGTCCAGCTGTTTCGGAGATTACCCGGAACAAACAGACAGACAGTGCAAGTCCTGTCTGCCAGTGAAAGTCCCGTCAAAATCCGTCCAGCTGTTTCGGAGATTACCCGGAACAAACAGACAGACAGTGCAAGTCCTGTCTGCCAGTGAAAGTCCCGTCAAAATCCGTCCAGCCATTTCGGAGATTACCCGGAACAAACAGACAGACAGACACAGACAGACAGACAGACAAACAAAAATTTAAAAAATTGTATTTTAGTTATAAGTACCGTATTTACTTTCATATGTATTTAGTAAAATACTGTAATTTTTACATTACAAACTGACACTTCAATTTTATTTATTTGTATAGATTAATCTTGAAAATAACAGCTTTTTACTAAATGCATATGAAAGTATATACGGTACTTATAACAAAAACACAATTTTCAAATTTTTGTCTGTCTGACTGTCTGTCTGTCTGTTTATTTGTTCCGGTTAATCTCAGAAACGGCTAGACCAATTTCGACGGGATTTTCACTGGCAGATAGCTGAAGTTATAAGGAGTAACTTAGGCTACTTATATTTTAGAAAAAAAATTAGGGTTCCGTGCAAGATAATTAAAACCCTAAATTAAACGCGGGCGAAGTCGCGGGAAACAGCTAGTCGTGTATAAAAATCAATTGCTGTCCGTTAGTCTCGCAAAAACTCGATAACGGCTGGACCGATTTTTGATGAAATTTTTGTGTATGTTTGAGCGGGTCCCTGCATGGTTTAAACACATTTCAATTGGAGCCGACTCCCGAAGGACCCGACGAGGTGGATTGCCAGTTTTAAATATGTACAAATTTATATGCTCCCAATGAATAAATTACTTCGAAATTTTAACTTTCATAGCGTTGAATAATCTATACAAATAAATAAAATTGAAGTATCTGTTTGTAATGTCAAAATTACAGCATTTTACTAAATTCATATGAAAGTATATACGGATAACAAAAATACAGTTTTCAAATTTTTGTCTGTCTGTCTCTATGTCTGTCTGTCTGTCTGTTCCGGCTGATCTCCGAAACGGTTGAACCGATTCTGACGGGACTTTCGCTGGCTTCTTTTACTTTTACTATTTAGAAAAATAATTAGGGTTCCGCGCAAAAAAATTAAAACCCAAAATTACACGCGAGCGAAGTCGCGGGGAACAGCTAATTTAAGATAAAAATAGCGGTATTAATAAAAAAATGAGATATTAAGTTAGTCTTTTAGAATATTTATAAATAAATAACTTAGTATAAATAATTGATTTGCGATAGCAAAACTAACACTATCCTCATAATTTAAAACATAAACATAGTATAGTAAGATGAATATGATGATGGTACATCCTTGAAAAGGACTATTTCAGGTTTAAAAAGGTTCAAGGCTAAAAAAAGGAAGAAAATAGATGGAAAGTAAGTTATACAAATGATAATAAATTGGATAATCTAAAAATGTTATTCCATCGTATATTCTAATAAATACATATACGTAACTCAGTAAAGTACACATTAATACATATAACCTAATTACCACAATAAAGTCCAACAATATTTATCATATACGTACCCGACCTAGGAAAAGTTACAACGAAAACATCACTCGGTCTAATTTCCATGTTGTATATTTCTTTACCAATTTTCTCAAATTCTCTAGGAAGGCGGTAACCTTTGGGTCCATAACACGATGTGCATGGATTCATAGTTGCTGGTTCAAAAATAACGTAAAAATTTGTCAAAAATTTGAATAATGTAACACTTATCTATCGTCATTATAACTGATATATTAACTGATAAAATCGAGTAAGTAAGACGTCTAGTGCTGCTTTCACTTCTCCACTGAAAATCGTGGATATTGTTGCAAGCTTGGTAGAGACATGCTACAACGTATTATAGTTGCAGCACGAATGGATCAGTTAGACCGAGAAAGCACCACGCCCCCATAGAATAAAAGCGTAAAAGTTAAAAAAGTTACATTTACAGCTTCTGTACGCCAATTGTATTTTATTTTTGTACGTGGTAGAGCCATGCTGCAGCTATATTAGTAGTATAGTTGTAGCATGAATGGGTCGGCTCGACCGGGGAAGGACCACGCTCTCACAGAATACCAGCGTAAAATAACAGCTTAACACTGCTGTGTTTCATGTGGTGAGTGTAGAGAACCGGAGACCCTTTTTACTGGAAAAGAAGCATTCCATCTTAGTCCTTACAGGTGACAACGCATCTGCATTTTGATTCGTAAACGAGGATAGATGTAGATGTCTATGGGCCACTGCAACCACTTACCATCGGGTGGACTGTGTGCTCGTTTTTCAACCTATCCTATAAAAAAAATTGTTAGGCACAGGCCTTCTCTCATGTTTTAGAGGGCTATGGAATACAATTTGTCCAACGCGTTGCTGATGGTGGAATGCAGATGCGCGAAGAGCTACCAAGAATCCTACTAGCGCTGATTAGTAATGAGACCCGGTGAACTTTGTTTCTTACTGAACACGGGGGATTCCTTCTTCGTCCTCAAGTGAATAATAATATGTCTACATTTTGAATGTTTTATGTACATATTATATACATAATATATACATGGGTATTTATGAGCTATAGTAACCACTGACTATCGGATGAACTGTGTTATTATTTGTCATTACACTTACTCTCACAAAATAGCAGCGTTAAATAGTAAATGTAGATAACCGTTTTTTATGACCCCTTTGAGTCGGAAACGAGGCATTCAATCTCTGTCCTCAGGAGTGACATCGCATCTGTATTTTGATTCTTAATCGAGGATAAATCGGGATAGAATCGAGGTAGGTAGGTGTCTAAAGGTCACAGTACCCTATTACCATTAGGTGGTAAGTGTGCATGTTTGTCACAAAAATTTCTATTTTTAACCGTTAACGTTTCCGGTACAGTATTAAAGCCATAAGAACATAGGTTTCCTCCATAGATTGCCTCATAGTGGGGGATATTTGCCATATTTAGCACGCTTCGCAAGCGGGTTGACAGCTGCAGTTTTTTATTTTAAGTAAATAAGTTAAAACTCTTTTTAACACTAAGAGTCACTGCAGTGTGGCTTTACAATATATATAAGTACATAGATTAGCTTGCATTCTGAATTTGTAAGTAAAGTAAAAAAAAAGTGAAGTTGCAGCCTATATATGTCCCACTGCTGGGCACAGGCCTTCTCTCATTTCTAAGTAATGAAAAATAAAAATAAAGTGTATAATAGGAAAATTCTTTAAATATAATCGTGGAAATGGTTGATGTAACAGTTATGAGTATTATTGAAAGATTTAACTGACATCAGAGTAATTTCGTCTGTGGTAAAATTTCACTTACCTTGGAAAGATTTCTTCCATTTTTCAACTTGTTCAGGTGCGATATCTCGAATTTCGAAAGGAAAGATCTTATTGGGTGTAGTCATTATTATTATTCGTATCTACAAAAATTGTAAAAAAAATTCAAAGTATGTTGAGAAAACAAAAAAAAATTTATTAATTATTAATTTACGTCAACGAAACACTCAATCGTATGACTATACAACTAATGGTGACAAATAAAGTTAGTTTGCTATCAGATTTCAGATTATATATTGAATGATGTTTGCATATCAGATTATATATTGATAGTACATTTTATCAGATAAGAAAGTGATAATGGTTTTTAATTTTGATTATAGCACAACAACATACAACTACAGCATCTAGAAGAAACTGTATAAATGTTCCTAGAAATAAGTGTATTCAAGGAACAATTATTACATAGTTTTATACAGTTACATATTTTATGATTAATATGAGACCATTATGACTCCTGATGAAACCTATCCAACTCCAGAGAGGAGTAAGAAAGGATGACATTATGTTCCCGAAACTCTTCACTGGTCTTCAAATGGCGAGTACAACACTCATCTTTAGTTTGCCGACGGTGTAGTCTTTATGGAGGAATCGCTGGATCAATAGTATCCCAAGGGATAGGACTTAAGATGAACATAGACAAAACAAAAGTCTTTTTTGATATTTGTAATAATTTTAATAGTTTCCCATAATTTTTTAATACTCAGTTTTGCATTTTGTAGCTCTCTTCATTTAAGATTTCTCGTACTCCCTTTTAAGTCATCTCAGTATATTGCAATAATTCCTATATTTCTTGTATGTTATTTTTAAAACTTCTTTTTCATATTGTTTTTTAATATTTTATGTAGTTTGTCCCTGTTCCTGTCCTGTTCCTGTGGTGTAGAATATCCACTACCCCATATCTTCCCGTGGGTGTCGTAAGAGGCCACAATCCTCCACCTCCCTTGGCTCCACCAACCTTGCCGAATACGGGCTGAATCTCGAGAGATGCACGCTGAAAATAGCCCAGTGCAAGCTCTTTCCCGCGTGCACTTTCTTGACTCTCTACTAGTTATTTAATCGTTTCCCTGTCCCGAATAGTCACTCTCACTTTTTGGGCATGACGTGCACACGTTTGTTGATTCCATGGCAATCCTTCGTGCGTGCCATCCGTGCGCAAAATCGCGCAGTCGGTCATTTTATGCAGTTCACCTTATCATCCACGAGCTCCGGGTAATACATCGGGCCAACCCTTTCGCATACCATTAGAATAGAATAGAATAGAATGATTTTTATTCAATATGGATTATTACATAATACTTATTGAAAGTCATTATTTTATTTACCACTGGTTCGGAAAATACCTCTGTCCTGGGAAGAACCAGCAAGAAACCCAGCGGGACTTTTTTTTTTAAACATAATTTCACTTAACAATAATTTCGTTTATACAATTTTAAATTAATTTTCATAGAACCAGCATGGTGGCGATCACCTTATTCCCAGGGGTTATTTTCATTCATGTATTCCTTGATATTATAATAACCCTTTTTGTACAGTTTTTCTTTAATAAAACTTTTAAACTTGTTTATTGACAAACTTTGAACATGTTCTGGGATTCTGTTGTAAAAGCGTATACATTTCCCCATAAATGAATTACTAATTCTGTGGAGTCTTGTAAGTGGCATTACAAGCTTATGTTTGTTCCTAGTGTTTAAGGTATGAACATCCTTATTCTTATTAAAGCTATTTATGTTTTTATGTACATACATTACATTTTCATAAATATATTGCGATGCCAAAGTTAATATGTTTATTTCTTTAAATTTTTCTCTAAGGGACTCTTTACAATTTAGATTATAAATCGCCCGTACGGCTCTCTTTTGCAAAACAAATATAGCTTCAATATCAGTCGCATTACCCCATAGCAAAATTCCATAAGACATTACGCTATGAAAGTAACTAAAATACACTAACCTAGCTGTCTCAACATCTGTGAGACTTCTAATCTTTCTTACAGCATATGCTGCAGAACTAAGTCTGCTTGCTAATTTAGATATATGGGGGCCCCATTGAAGTTTCGCGTCAATAGTAATACCGAGAAAAACAGTGGTATCCACAAGACTCAACTCCTCCCCATTTAAGAGCACATTGGTTTTCGAATGTTTTACATTAGGTATTGTAAATTTAATACATTTTGTCTTATTGCCGTTTAAGAGCAAATTGTTGGCGTTAAACCAATGTACTAGTTTCGATAGAGCATTATTTACATCGTCATATTTAATTGACTGCCGTTTCAGTTTGAAAATTAAAGAGGTATCGTCAGCAAATAATACTATATCGTGATTGTCCCCTACAAGATAAGGTAAGTCATCAATATAGATTAAGAACAGGAATGGGCCAAGAATCGAGCCCTGAGGAACGCCCATTGATACTACCGATCCGGAGGAACATTTACCATTAATGACGACTTTTTGAGTTCTGTTACTTAAATATGAAGTAATAAGTTTAAGCGCCAAATTTTTTACACCGTAATGTTGTAGTTTCCTGATTAATGTATCATGATGAACACAATCGAAAGCCTTGGAAAGGTCACAGAAAATACCTAAGGCATCTTGTGAATTCTCCCAGGCATTAAAAATATATTTCATAAGCTCAACACCGGCGTCAGACGTCGAGCGACCCCTTGTAAAACCAAATTGATTTTTATGAAGTAATTTATTTCTATTAAAAAAAATTAACAATTGATCCAAAATTATTTTTTCAAAAATTTTACTGAGAGTTGGTAGTACAGAAATAGGTCTATAATTAGCGGGGTCCAATGTACTACCAGATTTAAATAAAGGTATTACTTTACTATACTTCATTAAATCAGGAAACACACCAGAATCGATACAAGTATTAAAAATAATAGCAAGATGAGGTGCAATTAAATCTATTATGGACGCAATCACTGTAACGGAAATCCCCCACAAATCTGCGGTTTTCTTTACATCAATGGTTTTGAAGTATTTTACAATATTATGCGGTAATACTTTTTCAAATCTAAATTCTTTTAAACAGGTATTAACATTCTGTTTAAGTAATGATTCGGCGACAGTTGGAGAAGCATTCAATGACTCTGTTGTCAAGATAGGAACATCAGTGAAATATTTCTCAAACACCGCTGCAACTTCTTGATTTGATTTAGTCAATTCATTATTAATTTTTAATTGATAGTTTGAATTACGAGGTTTCTCTTTACCGGTTTCGCTGTTAATTATACTCCACGTCATTTTCTTCCATCCATTATCTTACATCGCAGGTCATCATACAGCTCACACTTCCACAGGACATGTTGCCTATCCTCGTAGGCCGCACTGCACTCGCACATACCCGATTCAGCCAATTTCATATCAGACAATCTCTTTCTGAAACATCCATGCCCACTGAGTATCTGTGAGAATTGATAGTACGGCATGACCCAATTTGTATTGGGTCGCACCGCCACGTCTGGAAAAAAGCGGAATAATTCCTAGCCATTCATCTCATTCGTCGACCGTTCCTACCATGCATTCACAACTTCAGCCCAAATTTCGCGCTAGGCAAGCAAGCGCTCAATTCCCCATTATCTGTGTTTCTACGCACCTAGTAGTTCCTACTAGCACGTATGACCTCCAGATCGGTCGGAAGGACGCCGGCTAACCCCGAAAGCGCCGCAGTACTTATCGTCCTGTAGTCTTTTGTCAGCAACACGAGTGATGATCTCTGCGATCTAAGCAGTGTCGTGCGCACTTTATAATTCCCACCCGGTCAAGCCAAACGGACGCAGAATAAGTCACTACTGGAAAATATGTTCCCTTATACAGAACACGTGGCGCTGGATAGCACACGCCCCAAGAAGACGCTAACACCCGTGACATCTTCGCAAAGCATCTCCCAGCCCTTTCTCCCATATCCTTGGCGTTCTTAATAAAAAATAGGCTCGTGTCTAGGGTGACACCAAATACTATAGTCAACATTACGCTTTTTATCGACTCCTTCTCAATCCTGATAACAGGTGGTCGCTGGGATTTGCGTTTAAAGTCAGAGTACTTGACTTCGCGGAGGAGAAGTATGGCCGGTTCCACTCCTCCCACGACGATACCAGCTCCAGTGCAGATTTGGCCGCTCCCTCTATTTCAGCTCTAGAGTTTGCCTCTATCAGGAGTGTCACATTATCAGCATACGCCAGCATTTGCCGCAGGGAATGGTAGCCTCAACAAGTCGTCCAGCAATAGATTCCACAAGGTCGGTCCAAGGACTGATCCCTGCGGGCAGCCCATGGTCGAGCGTTTCCACTCAGCAGAATCACCTACGAATATGCCTACTCGTCTGTTGGTGAAATAATTCACCAACATACGGTAGATATTAGGTGGAATCCCCCCTTGTTTGGTCTTCAGCAGTATCATCAGCCACCACGCATTATCGAATGATGGCTCCGTGGCGCAGTGGCTTAGCAATGAGTTGTTGCGCTGGGGGCCGCGGGTTCGTATCCCACACGGAACAAGTATTTGTATGGCTTACAAATAATTGTTCCTGTTCTCGATGTTTGTCTTCGTGCAATCTATGTTTGTAAACAGCCTCCACGATACAGGAGAAAAGCCTAGTGTGGAGGCAACATTTTTTTAAAATAATTTTTTTTTATTTTATAAAAAAAAAACGAATTCGAAGCCGCGGCCGCCAGCGCAACAACTGATTGATAAGCCACTGCGCCACGGAGCAAATTTAAATTACACGGAGCGAAATTATCCCGATATGTCTAAGAAGAACGCTTGTACATATTTGCGCTACGACTCACGCGCAGTACTAAGCCCTAACTATGCCTTCTAGACAACTAAAGGTAGGGGTAGCGACAACTGGCCCAGATGGGGTGAGAGCGGCCATAAGGCGCACCCGCCCGTGATATTTTTTGACTGGCCTGTTGGTCTAGTGGTTAGTGACCCTGACTGCTACGCCGGAGGTCGTGGGTTCGATTCCCACCCAGGACAAATGTTTGTGTGATGAGCACGATCATTTGTTCTGTGTCTGGGTGTAATTTATCTATAATATTTATGTATTTAGAAATATATAAGTATGTTTATCAGTTGTCTAGTACCCGTAGCACAAGCTCTGCTTAGCTTGGGACTAGATGGCGTTGTTTGATAGTTGTGGAATATTATTATTATTATTATATTCTGTGTCTTTGGACAGATCGAAGTCTGGACACAGCGCCACGAGCAAGTCCCACATGGCCACATAAAGAGGCGACAGTGGGAAACAGGCAGGAGATGGGCAGCAGCATCTTGCAGATAACAGCAATATTACATCTATCACTGGGAGGGCAACCATCTGTCACAAGGAGGTGACGAATTTATCGTCCACAAGTCTCTCGTTAAAAATGTTGTAAAGATTGTGAGTGTGTCGACGAGAGTTGCATACCTTATACTCGTAATGACCAAACGGTATACGTTGAAGGTCATACAGGTTTACGCACCAACCTTGACATATCCCGATGACGAGGTGGAGGGAATGTATGAGTATATCTCTAAAGCCATGCATTCCTCCAAAACCCACTATACGGTATTAATGGGAGACTTCAATGCAAAACTAGGGACAAGAGAGAACAGTGAGTTGCAGGTAGGGAAATTTGGAATAGGGCAACGGAATCCTAGGGGCCAGCAGCTGGTCAACTTCATGGAGAAAGAGGGACTCTTTATGATAAACCCGTTTTTCCAGAAGCGGCCCCACAGGAAGTGGATCTGGTCTCATGGCTGTTAGACGGGAAATGAAGCTGCAATCTTCAACAGATTTGACAGCATACAGGTAACTGAACAGACAACTTGTATTAAAGAAGCGATCGAGCAGACCCAAGCCTCCCAAGTCTTTGACAGAGATCTGTCTGCCAGAAAGAGCAAACTGTCAAAGCTGAAGACCTAGTGTGGCAGTATCGTTTCCGGGACACCTGAGATATTGAATGAGATTGAGAGGTTCTATGGGCAGCTGTACACGACATCGTTGGTACCACACGCAAGTGTGAGTTAATCTAAGCGAGATTAGAATGGCTCTCCAGCACCTTAAAAACGGCAAGGCCCCAGGCGAGGTTGTAATTACAGCAAAGAAACTTTATATTAGCAGAAAACCGTTACTTGAAGTCCTTCAGAAGCTCTTTAATTCCATCCTCGATGGTAAAACTACTCCGCAGGCGTGGAGCAGAAGTGCAGTGATCTTGTTCTTAGGTCAGATTCGACAACTTCCAGCCTTCCGAACAAGCTGGTTTCCGAAAAGTCTTTAGTACCAGAGACCACATAAATACCCTTCGCCAATTATACAGAAGACCGAGGAGTACAATTTGCCACTATATCTTGCGTATGTGGACTATGAGGAAGCCTTTTATTCCGTTGAAACTCGGGTGGTGCTGCAGTCCCTTCAGCGGTGCCAAGTTGACTGTCGGTATATCGAGGTGCTGAAGTGTTTGTGCAGTAGGGCTACGATGGCTATCCGAGAACAGAACCAGAGTACGAAACCTATTCAACTGCAGAGAGGTGTAAGATAGGGTGATGTTATATCCCCGAAACTTATCACTGACTGAAACTTATGACTTTTTCAAGCTACTGGACTGGAAAGGATACGATATTAACATCAGTGGCGAGTACATCACTCACCTTCGATTTGCCGACGATATAGTCCTTGTTCTGTTAATTGTTTTGAGCGAAGAACTAGTTATTAATTTAGTATCTAAATAAAGAGATCTGTAATTGACATTTTTTTAACATAACGGTATGCTTTTCCTTTAGATTTTATTAAGAAATTATCAAGAGAGGTATGAGAGTGTGTGGGTAGATTATGCGCTGGGAGAAGTCCATGAGACGCCACAAGATTGAGATAGGATTTACACCAATTACATTATTAAATTCTGCTATATGAATGTTTATATCACCTGTGATAACAAGATTACCATACGATGCACATTGCTCCAAACAATTATTTAAAGATGTTAAAAACCTAACTATGTTATAGTTTATGGTGGCCCATAAATGGCCAGGATAACGATCATTGAATTTAACGTTATCTTCGGACAGTTTGCATCAAGTAACTCTGGCTCTTCCACTGTTATATTTAGATTTAGTTTTTAGTATATGACTGCTGAACCCTACTTTTGTGAATTATTATTTAAAAAAATTTAAAAGAATAATAACCGTATATTCTGGGTATATAGGACGAATGGTAGAGGCAGCATTCCCTTAAAACAATAACATCATAGGTAACTCTACTTCCAGCAAGTAGAGTAAAAAAGTTTGACATATTTCGCTAAACACTTCTTATGTTTTGATGTAATATTTGAAAGAAAACTTTATATTGTATATATATATATATATATATATATATATATAAGACGTATGATATATTGTTTTTAGGGTTGACTAAAATAAACTATGTTGTGTTGCTCTGTAAACAAAGATTTATATTTTATTAATTTTAAGTTCCTTTACGAAACTACACTATTACAATAATAACTAAAAACAAACCTGTAAACAAAGAAACGACATTTAAAGTTTATTCCTTAATATGTCAATTCCCTTTGTAACAATTCTGTTTTTAATAAACTTAAATTATAATTTTCTACAGGCAGCTTATCATTGTCAACAGTCAATACCGTCAACAAACCGTCAATATGTTATTTCACAGATTCTATCTACACTACACAAATACAGATAAAACCACAGATAAAACACACAGACAAAATATTAAAGAAATACATTTTCTTTACATCTCCCCCCTCGGGAAAGAAGATTTACAATAAAATATTCACGTAACCTTCTCATCTTCTGTTTCTGTCTGAAGATGAGAACTTCTGTTTCTTCTTCGTCAAATGAACGGACTGGAATAATTTTTGAGATGTGGAAAAGATTTGATTCAGTTTTTTTGTGACCAGTTTCAATTCTGTATATTGAGGTTGAAATTTTTTCAACTATCTCATAAGGTCCGATTCTCAGTTCATCTAATTTTTTTCTGTTTATTTTGTTTCCATTTTCCACATACACCATGTCTCCTACATTAAATTGATAGTATTTTCGATTTTTGTCGAATAGTGTTTTGTTGTAGTTATGTGATTTCATAGTATTTTCAAGTGCAGATTTTCTGTCTCTGATCCAGTCCTTATTTGATATTTCTTGTTTTAATTCATTTGGTAAAATTGTAACATCCTTACCGTACAAAAGATAACTCGATGTAAAGCCAGTGACTGAGTGAATAGTATCATTATATTTATTTAAACATTCTTGAGCTACTGTTGTCCAGGCTCTTTTTTTCCTTCTCCATTTATTTTACATCTGATTTTGTTCACTAATGTTTGATTCAATCTCTCATTGAGGCCATTTGAGAATGGTGCATTTACTGCTGTGAATACTAAAGGTATCCGCTTGTCATTTAAGAATTTCTTAAAATCTTTTGAATTGATTCCCGGGTATTGGTCGGTGAGAATTATACCAATGTCCTCCGTTTCTGTTATGTTTGTAATTAGTTTTATAAAATCATTTGCACTCTGAGTTTTTGAGGTTAAAATAAATGCATATCTTGTATAATGGTCTACTAACAGATGTAGATACTTTTTTGTTGATCTTGAACCTCCAAAACCTCCAATTGTATCTATAGAGACTATTTCGAAAGGCTTTGTGGCTGGACCTAGATGAGACATCAAGCCAAATCGGTCATGTCCTCTTGATTTATTTTTAATACAAATTTCACAGCTTGTACAAATTTTTTTGATGTTTTTTATCAAATTTTTGGCTGTGTATAGCGGACTAACAGTCTTTTGCATTTGTCCCATTCCAATATGGCATAGGTTTTCATGTATATTTTTTAAGAGTTTTATACTTAACTCTTCTGATAGAATTATTTTTTCTTTTTTCCTTATCTTTTTGTAGAATATACTCTGTTTTTCAATCAATTTGTTTTTGTTATTTTGTATTTCTTCATTTTTATTTTGATCTGTAACAATATCTTCCAGTTTAATTAAGTTCACAATTTTTAATTGTTCATCTGTGTTCTCATTCGATTCTAATACTGGATTTCTGCTTAGACAGTCTGCTTCCATATTTTCTTTTCCTGGATTATATTTTATTTTGAATTCATACTGTGAGAGATAATATATTAAATCACCCAGCTCTTCATCGGTTCTAGATTTCAGATTCATGTTCTCCAGTGGTTTGTGGTCTGAATAAACTGTAAATGATTTACCTATCAACCAGTATTGCCAGTATCTCACTGCTTCTTTTATAGCTAAACATTCTAAGTATATTGTTTTTTTCTTCTTTTGTGCTTCATTTAACTTTTTTGAAAAGTAAGCCACTGGTTTTTCTTTTCCATTAGGTTGTATCTGTTTTAAAATGGCTCCTATACCTTCCAAAGAAGCATCTGTATAAATGTTGATTGGTAAATCTTGATCAAAAATTTCTAGAACTGGTTGGGAGCATAGCAGGCTTTTTATCATTTCAAATGCTTTTTGACAATCATCAGACCAAATGACCTTTTGATTTTTTCTGACTAAATTATGTAATGGGTCTAGTATTATTTAACTTCTCCGTATACTCATGGTAAAAATTAATTTTTCCTAGAAATGGTCTTATATTTTTCTGCGTTTTTGGAACAGGAATTTTTTTTATTGAAATTAAATTGTCCTTTACTGGTCTGATAGAATTATTTTGTATTACATGACCTAAGTATTTTTCTGAATCTGATGCAAATGTGCATTTTTGAAATTTTAACCTGAAACCTTCTGTTTTTATTGCTTCCAGCAACCGTGAAAGATGGTTAATGTGTTCAGTAAAAGATTTCGAAAATATAAGGAAATCATCTATGTAAATAACCGTAAAATCAGTAAGTTTATACTTCCTCAAAATATTTCTTAATATCCTCTGAAAAATTGCCGGCGAGGTCTTTAGTCCAAAAGGTAGGCATGTCCATTGGAAATGTCCTTCCTGTGTTACGAATCCTGTCTTTTTTCTATCTTCGATTCGAAGAGGAATGGACCAAAATGCAGAGTTAATATCTAGAGTTGAAAAAAATTTGCAGTTCCTCGTCTTTATCATTAGATCTTCAATTAATGGAAATGGTTGAGCTTGAGGTACCATTATTTTATTTAAATCTCTGAAGTCTATACACAGTCGGGATTTTTTGTTTTCTTCTTTTTTAAATGCTAAAGTAACAGGTGCAGCGAATGGACTGCATGATTCCTCTATCAGATTCTTATCTAGTAATTTTGCTATTTGTTCCTCGATTTCTTTTTTATCTTCAAAAGTGCATCTGTAAGGTCTCTTACTACAATATTTATCTACTAATAAGTCTATCCTCGCTTCATATCCTTTAACAGTACCCACATCGTATTTGTTTTTTGCAAATACTGATTTATATTGACAAATCAGTTTATTTATTTCTAATTTTTGATAGTGATTTAAATGATTTATTTTTATTTCAAAGTCTTCTTCTCTTACATGTCCATTAAAATTTATTTTGTATTCTTTCGTTGTGTTATTTTTTGTACTTTTTAATTCGGTATTTGTTTGTTTATTTGTAGAAATTTCTTATACTTTATTTTCATTTTCATTATTCAGACTCTATTTCTGAGTTATTTTTAAATCTTCATTTTGGATTAATTTGAACTTTTTTATCAAGTCTAATCCAATTAAAAAATCATATTTGAAATTTTCATCATCAATAATGTATACATCAACACTATATTCTAATTCAAATATTTTTATTTTCAAGGTTGTCAAACCACTTGTTTTTTTAACACCATTAATTGTTACTAAATCTGCTTCATTCAAACTGTTTCCCTTTCCTTTTAGTTTTAGTAACTTAGCATTTATCAGAGAAACATTCGAACCTGAGTCGTAAACTCCATATATTTTTAATTTATCATTCAATAGTAGTTTGACATTTATTAATGGTGTTTCTATTCGTTCTTTGGACAAGTTTCATTTAACTCTGCTTCTATTACCGAATTGTTTACGTGTTTAATTATATTTTTCTTTACCTTATCATCTTATTTTGATTTAAACCAACATGTAGCTTCAGAGTGATAACGGGTACCTTTATTTAATTTTTCACAAATCTTACACGGATTGTGATCTTCATTTTTATCATAAGTTCTTACATTTGCATATTTTTTCTTACCTGGAAAACTTTTTTTATTTACCATGTGTTCATATCTGCTTACTTCTTTAAATAAATCCACTGTATCTTTTAATGTTTCCCTATCAATTTTATTGAGTATGAATTCTGGTAAGCCAGCTGCAATAAGATCCACCAAGGTACCTGTGTCAATTGATCTCCTCATACCCAATAAAAGTTTTTCTTTTCTCATAGCATAATCCAACAAAGAACCATCTTTATATTTAAATAATAATGCGTAAGTGACTGGGTTCCATCCTTTATTTGCAAATGTTTCACAAAATTTGTTTTTCCATGTCAGTCATTCAGAGTTCACTGCTAATTTTATGATCATTGAGCTATACCAATCTGCGCAAGAACCATCCATAAACAATCTAAGCATTTCAATTTTCTTTTCATCTGTAATCACATCAAAGCGTATGCATTCTTTTTCAAAGATATCAATCCACTGGTTTGCATTAGAATTCTTGCTTGTAAATTTTTCAACCACAAATTTTTCTGCAATGTGTTTTAAACTCTGCTGTCTATTTTCCTTTGTGGTTTCTACTAATTTCTCAAATAATCTTTCCAATGTACTTGTTTCTTTTTGACATGTTTTGTCAACAAGTTTTTCTTGGTTTAATTCTTCTAGAAATTGATACCCAAATTGTAAATTACCATCCTCATCTATGTAGGTTTTTTTAAGTTCTTCTGTCATAGTTATCCAGACTCTTCTAATCTGGTATCTTTTTTGTAAACTATTTTTACTTTATTATAAGCAGCTGTTTTCATTATTTCTCTATGATGACTAGCTGATTGGAGCTCTTTTGGTATTGCATATATTTTATTTTCACTCGTGGTTATTGAGGTTATAGAAAAAATGTTTGACTTTCCATCGCTTCCAGGTAATAATTCAAAACAAAGTTTCTCCATTTTTTTTTGTTTGGATTTTATAACCAAAAATGTCGTTTTATAAGATATATTGTTTTTAGGGTTGACTAAAATAAACTATGTTGTGTTGCTCTGTAAACAAAGATTTATATTTTATTAATTTTAAGTTCCATTACGAAACTACACTATTACAATAATAACTAAAAACAAACCTGTAAACAAAGAAACGACATTTAAAGTTTATTCCTTAATATGTCAATTCCCTTTGTAACAATTCTGTTTTTAATAAACTTAAATTATAATTTTCTACAGGCAGCTTATCATTGTCAACAGTCAATACCGTCAATATGTTATTTCACAGATTCTATCTACACTACACAAGTACAGATAAAACCACAGATAAAACACACAGACAAAATATTAAAGAAATACATTTTCTTTACATATATATATATACACACACACACACACACACATATATATATATACACAATATAAAGTTTTCATATATATATATATATATATATATATATATATATATATATATATATTAGTAACGAAAAGTACTTATTTGTTAAGTTGTATGTATGTACGTGATAATAGTATTTAAAGATATTGTATAACATAGAAGAGGGGCATTTGTATAGTAAAATTAGTGTATGTAGTTCGCAATTTAAGTTCATGTATGATTTTATATAAACTATAGAAGGTAATCACTATGTATTTTTGATTGTAGTTATTAATTTTGTTGTATTACTTGTTGATATATTATACATAAAAAGTAGTATACTATTGTGCTTTCGGCTCAGAAAAAAAGGGGTAGGTTTTTGTGTGATAAGTATTATGATTGTATTCATAGGTTCAGAGATCACTAATAAAAATTAGTAATTGATGATACAGTAAGATTGCAATTATCTCGCTTTTTAATTATCTGTCTTACTCACGCGCTTCTCTTGTGTTATCTTCGCGCTGCTCATAAACTCCGGGTATAAACTATTATCACTTTGAACAATTTAGAAGTGGATTTTAATTTTAAATATAAAAAGTGTTGTGCAAGATTCAATACGTCCACTCTGTGCGGAGGTCACAAACTATCTAGAAAGTAGAAACACTTTACCTGAAATTAAATTATTCTGGCGTATAGACCGACATAGTGTGCAAGGGAGAAGAACATTCCTTATGGCAAAAATGCAAGATAGAAAAGGATACCAAATCTCATGACTCTGTAACCAATTCTGAATGACTGGTCGGAGCAACTCGGCACGCAATTTTATATGTACGCTAGGGATTGACCTAACTATATCAAAATTAATGTCGATATTTATCTTGAATGTTTATAATGAATCAATAGGCTTGCCCACACAACAAGAAAACAAATCCTCGGTTTGCGTTCGTTTAGAATAAAAACAATTTCATTAAAAGGAGCCATTTCTACATTATTGGTACCAGTAAGTATGATATTGTTATAATAATAAAACTTCAAAAATTTTGATAATAATTTAAAATTAAAAATATTGTACAGCCGACTTCAATATGAGTTATTAAGAATAACTCAAAAACTATTGGTCTGACCTTGATCAAATTCATATCGGATCACACGAGAAGTACCAGCTTTCAAATAAAAAAGAATCATCCAAATCGGTTCACCCAGTAAAAAGTTATAAGGTAACACACATAAAAAAACATACAGTCGAATTGAGTACCGCCTCCTTTTTGGGAGTCTTTTTTTGTACATTATAAAACTGTAGTACATTTAAGATAAAAAATCTTGAAATATTTTACTTAAGCCATTATGAACTCAACTATCTATTTATCAACCAAAAAATGTAGAACCTTACTTCACCACCCGTACCTCACGGTTACCCTAGTGCGATATTTCATTGCATCACGCTATTTTCCCCAAGGGTTTGCGCGGAGATTCGGAATATATTCCCAAGTGACAATGATAAAACTTTTAACGTAGATAGATATAATATATTTAGTAATTTTCTTGAAGCGCCACTAGACGCCCGCGCATGAGACGTGCGGTTCGATGTCCTAGGATAGTATAAATTCCATAGTATTTGATGCTCACAACGCTCGATGTCCGATTCATGCTTTATGGCTGACGACGTTGTGCCGTGGGCTTAAATTACGTGATGTACAGTGTTAGTCGTAGAGAAGAGGAACTCGTGGATAAATTATAGCTGCGCGGATCAATAGATCTGCGAGATTAAGTTGCACTTGCTGCGGTCAGTACATGAATGAGTGACCATTTTCATAACATACCGAGATTGAGATAATAGAGAGTGCATCTGTATCCTCAGAAACCTGGTGCACTTTATCCTATTAAGGTCATTACTTTTTTTAAATTCATGCAGCTAAAATGATAATAAGTTTATTATTACTTTATACTTTTAAGCCTCATAAACATATTGGCCTTTAAACAGAACAATCTTATTTAACTCATTC